TCGAAGGCATGAATCCGGGTTTCTGATTGACTGAGAGATTTTTATTTTATTGGTAACGAAAATATATTCTAAATAAACGAAGTTTCAAATAAAAACGAACACAAAAATCTCGGCATGCTGCGTTTCTGAATTGTTGATTATTACTGTACTCAGTAGTGATTATAATAATGTACACAAAATAAATTTGTTGAATGGTTATGAAATACAAATAAAAGTCAACTAAGTTTCATCGTAAGCGAATGATTCCGGTCTCGTATAAACGTTTGATGCTGTAGGATATCCGCCATGTTCTCTTAGGTCAAATAGGTCAAATCGCTAATTAACCAATCAAAAAGCTGGATAATGCCAACGTGTTCAAATTACCATAGCTTATTTAAATATGTTAATGTTATTGAACGCAATGCGAAGAGATTGATGTTGTAGTACGATATTTTGGCTTTGATTTTGATGATTTTTTTTTTAAATAAAAAAATTAGTTGTTTTTAAAAAATAAACTGGTCATCTGAAGAATAATTTAACATTGTTCACAGTGATAACAGCTCATTCTCGAAAGGAAGCTTACCCGCTCACGCTAGTCACGATAAAAATCATACACGTGTACTCTTGAATAGACAGACGTCAATGACTACGGTAAAACTTAGACTCTATTTTAGCCGGCAGGATTGATTGAAATGTCCGAAAAATGACGCCAAAATACACTTAAAAGTCCCATTTTATTTTCTTAAATCCCATTTTATTTTTTAATCCAAGGGCGAATTTACGGCAGAATTTGGTCCCTCAAATAAGGGACACGTGAGCTTTGATTCTAACCGGATACATTGCACTGGGTCGGGGAGATAGTTTGCTAAACTTCCATGTATCTTTTGTCCAATGGGTACCTGTACTTCGAACATTCGCAAGTTTTCCTAGGTAGTGCGAGACAGCTTTGTCTTTTGACCTATTAGTTTTGTGCTGACCTCTTCTGCGCGTCTTGATGTTTTGTTTTGCTTGTCATAATACTCACTGATTGATGACTTTGTTTAGATTTTGAGTTACAACTCGGCCACGACTCTAAAAACATGTCACATTTCTAACGCCAATTATTTAAAACCGGTCGAAATTTTGGAGTTTTTACGGTACTTTAGATATCAGTGTGAAAGCTTAAAATTGGTTAATTATGCAAATTAGGTAATTAATATGTACAGATTGTAACCCACAATTATTCAGGTCTGTCTATTGTCCTACAGCATCCATGTACATTCATTGATATGTGATGTATAGTACCTGAGATATCAGTGTGAAAGTTGGTTAATTATGCAAATTAGGTGATTAATATGCACAAATATTTACCGGAAACTAATTGGGTCTGC